GACTCGGTTTTGACCCGAAACTGTCCGAAACTCATTTTTCATCTCAGTCGACATGGTTTAACCCTTATTGACCTGGTGGACTCGATTTTAATCGAAAGATGCGGTTGAATCGAGAAAATATATTTTAAACCTTTTTTATTTATATTTTTTTGTTATGAATAATAAACTAACATTCGAGAAAATCTTAGTGAATCCAAAATTGGGTTACAACACATTGAATCCCATATTCCTTTTACAGAGTCTTTGTTTAAGACTGTTTCCATAATTGTACAGTCAATGGATTTAAAATGATAATGTTTTACTTTCAAGCCTTTTAATCTTATCTCCTCCACGTTCATTTGTTAAGCCTTCGTGCATTCTACTTCAGTTAAGCCTCTAGGAATTCCAATCTCGCTTAAACACCAATATTCTTTGGAATGTAGGAAATTTTCTATTAGCATGGCCCAATGGTCATAGTGACCAGCAAATTTGGGAATCGCTGGTTGAACAAAATTTCCTTTAGCCATAGCTTTGATCTCCTGAAAGTCTCACCTCCCCTTCTTTACTAGAATTCTCATTGTTCTCTCTTCACTCTTCACTAATTAACTAAAACTCTCACTTTTCTCTCTTTATCAGGCTCTATTAATGAAGCTTTGATATCAATTGTTAAGTATAAATAATTAGTTAATAGTTCAAGATAAAGAGTGAAAGACCACACTTTATTGAATAGAAAGTTGGTTTATATAACAAACCATTATAACAAAAATCAGGAAAACAAGCAACCCACTTTTGATACTCCTACAAACATGGTTAATGAGCAAAGAATAAATCAAAACTAATCCTTTAATCATTATTAACTGACTCAATTCCAACACATGTCTCATCGATTTACGTGTATGACAACAAACTGTGATCTCATTTTACATAACAATTTAAAATATAAGTACATGATTATATAATATCTTTAATGTTAAGTAAATTAAAAATAAATATTCCTATAATGCCATCAAAAAATCTTTTGATCGATGTCTATCTTGCAATCGCATGGCACGTGTGTCAATGAGTTTGGAAAGAATATATTGTGACTCATGCTCTCCATGATCATAATCATCCTCTTTGTGGATATCATCATCATATTGTTCGGGAATACGATCGTTGTAAGGTGGATGCGATCCGTCGCCTCATGTGCACGCATCCTATGGAAGAATACATGTATTGAATGTGAAATTAGATAAGATTAATATGTTTTATAAAAATATTATAATATATTATAACAAATATATGTTCCATGTTATATACATACATACATATATATATATATATATATATATATATATAAACTAGTTAAAATTAAGCCCTTATTACCTTCGAAATACATTCCAATGCGTTATATACATTAAAAAGAGCAAAAATCATTTGAGCAACTCAAAGCACAACAGATCCTTATTGTTGAAGGTTTGGTGACTGCCAAAACCTTCTAGAATATTCTACTGTCTCGGAGTATAATCCCCTTTAGGTATGCATCGCAACCCCCCCCCCCAAAATTACATGTTTGCTAGCTAAAACCTAATTTCAAACTATACAAATCAGTAGAATCCCATGTAATAACCATGTTCTGTGTGAAAATGTGAGATTCTAGTCTCATATATATGTATATATAAAACACAGAACATGGTTCTGTGCGTGCATTTGATTTGAATTTTTTTTTTCCATGGATGCTGAGGATTATTGGATCTAGAGCTATTTTATGACTGATACTCATCAACTATCGTTTCTATTATATTTTATTAGGACTTTACTTGTCTAGTGGAGTCAGATCCTGATCCGCTTGGACAAGGTGGGCAATTTTATATTTTCTTAGAAAGAAATTACAAGCCAATCTTTTTCACCTAGAATCTAATTAGTATTTTGAGTTTTAATAAAGCATATTTTTTTGTATTTTTCTTGAAATATTAAGATTGATTATTGTAAAATTTATTCTTGTTAATTTATAAATTTCTTAAAAAATAATCAGAACAGCTGATTATGCACCAATTTTCACTAAAAAAATATGATTTATTAGTAAGTGGGGAGATTCATATATACCAAAGTAATGTTATGGGGAGTATAATAATAAAAGAAGAGAAAGGAAATTACTATTTCACACGGAATTGGTCTTCTCTTGTAAATTATTCATTTGCAATCTCAAATCAACTCTCTTTTCTGACTCTTCCCTTCCATGGCAACCAGTGATTGCCCATATGTCATATCAACATTATACAGTAGCCAGATAGGTGTTTAGCATTAACTTGCAGGTTAGGTTAATTTTTTAAAATATAAAAAAAATATCTAAAAAATGATAATGTTTTTAAAAGAGGAAAACGACTAGTCAAATAAAATATACTTATAAATATTATAAATATTATGAACGATTTTATTTGACAAAAGTTTAAATATTCTTAAAAATTCTAAATGATTTTATTTGATACACTAAATAATATAGATGAGATGATCTTGTAGAAAAACAATTGAATGAAACAATGAAAATCAATTTTCAAACAAACTAAATAATAAAATTAAAAATTAAAAAAATTTAAATTAACTTAAATAACTTGTAATTTGAAATATGAGATAAGATTAAATTTATAACAAGAAAAGTGTTAAAACTTAAAAATCAATTATAAAGAAAAAAACCTAGAAAAAACTAAAATAAAATTAAGCTAATATTTAAAACTTGTAACTTGAATCATGAAATCGAGTCATCTAATATAAGTCAAATATATATATATAGTAATTTTATTACACTAAAAAAAATATAAAAAAACCAATTTATCTCAATTAATTTCACAATAACTATAAATTAAAAAAAAAAATATTACCTCTATTAATACTACCTCTATTAATAATAAGACCATTAGTTTTTATTGAGAATAACAAAAACATAAAACCATTATTTTAACTCACATTATTTTATGAATTGATATACAGTAAATTACTGATTTTTTTTGTTTTTATAATTGTCCACTAAAGATTCTAATTAAACACTGATTTAAATTAAAAGAACTAATTAAAAAATCTTATATGAATCTGGATCAACTAGTTTTTCCACTTATAATAAAAAGAAAATTTGGGAACCTAATTATTGAGACCAAACTAATTATTATATATGTATAAAGCTATTTAGGATTAACTGTGTTTTTGATAATATATTGTAATCTGTTTTTTAATTGAAAAAATATAAAAATATTTTTTATTTTTTTAATATCAATATATCAAAATTATTTAAAAATTATTTAAAAAATTAATTTAATAATAAAAAATATTTTAAAATAAAGTTGAAACACCCAAACAAATCCTGTTAAAACTTAAAAGTGTAATTTATGAAGAAAAAAAAAGTAATTATTAATGTGCAAAGCACAACCTTAGTCGTACCAGGTCAATGAACCACCACGTGCTTTGCTGGATGTCCTCGGCCAACTAGAGAGGAGCACATCAGTTAAAACTTTTTGCGTATTTAAAAAAAAATATATAAATTAAAGATTCAAACTCGAGATTTTTTAAAAAGCGAAGAAAAAGTACTAATTAAATTACAACTCACCGGTTTAAATATTATTTACAAAGAAGAATAAAGTATCATTGAATTTTTGGCTCAAATAATATCTTGTTTTTATATAATATAAATATCAAATTTAAACCAATCATTTATCAATATCAGATATCAGGCAATCAATATACAACAGTAAACTGTAAAACAAATGCAAAATATAAATGGAATGTAGAAATGCGTATGGGTTAATTAATGAACGCAAATACCAATCAATAAAATTTTGTCATCTATTTTAAAAATTAAATCATAAATGAGTCTTTATTGGCACATTTGCCTATGAAAAAAAGAAAGAAATTTAAAAATAGGTGCGAAAGATAATATGAAAAAAATTGTAAATAAAAATATTTAAATCATAATTTTTTACAAATTAATCACTCTTAAATTAATATTATTAATTAAATGGATTGAAAGCTCATGATATAAGCTTTATTTTAAGATTTTATGTTAAGAAGTAAGAGCAAAAAAAAAAACAAAAAAAAATATCTCTAATACTAATATCAACTTGCATTAAACGATTTTAAATTCTCTAAGATTTATGATGATATAAAGATTGAATTATATATCATTTATACTTTTTTAGTTTTCAATTGAGGCATTTTGTAATTGAATTATAAAATTAAGTAATATAATTTATAGTATTACTTCCAAAAATCAGGAATAATTAATAATTAAATTTGCATATGCATCTAACATGTTTTCAAATATGATCTTGGAAATTTAACAAATGTTTCTATAAGTTTTTCGTCTATTCGTATGATATGTGTCATAAACTATGATATTGTGTAATTTCATCCAGAGTTGAATAATGACAGCCAAAGGCCTTGGACAACTAAGGATTTTTGGGTAGATTTCAATGTCTAAGAATTAAAAAAAAATTACTATGCTTGGAGAAAAAAAATGAAAGACATTTATGAACAATTGTTATCTCAAGATATATGGAAAAGAAATGAGGGGGGAAAGAAAGAACCCTGTTATAGGTAATCCATCAATAAAAATTTAATTAGAAATAATAAAAAATATAAAACTCTTGAATTGTTCTTCTTTTTTATTTTCTAAATATGAAAAATCCTCAAGAACCTCATTAATTCTCGATTTATTTTTCTTCTTGACCTTTGTTATTTTGATATAGTTTCTAATGGATGCCATTGCTGAAATTTTCTAAGAAAGTATTTCCTGACAATTTAACTAGAGGATTACAGGTATATGAAAGTGAGAAGAAATAATTTAGTTTTAGTCAAGTTAACTCCAATCTGAATAATATCCTGAAAATGAGAGGCCTCGGAAGAAAAACGAGGAGAGGGGTCACTAGCTAGTAATGGCTCAAGGTTTTGAGGGCGTGACACGTTTCCATCCATGTGCGGCCTCATAAATGAAGCCCTCACCTCCCCCGAGCTCTTTATATACAGAAGCTTTGCTAACCAGCTCTTCAATACTATCAAAGCTGTAACTCGAGCGCAGTATCATTAATACAATATTTGTTCTCCAATTTCTTACTTTTGTCTCTCTATCCTCTAGCAACTTACGTTAGTTCTTCAATAGCAAGCAACACTTGCTTTATGTCACCGAACTTAGCCAGCTAGCTAGCAGCATTTGCCCCTAGCCAGGACACAAAAAGGGCTGAACTATCACCGTCTCTCTATAAATCATCATATTATACCCAAAATTATCCAAAACATCGACCATTCCTTGAGAGATAGATAGGCCAAACAATCTGAGTTTAACAAATCATGAGTAATGATTACTACTATGAATGCCCACATGCCGTGGCAATTCCTCCAGCAAAACCATTCATTGAGTCAATAAAATCGGGTATCAAGGAGACTCTTTTCCCTGATGACCCTTTTAGGCAATTCAAGAACCAGCCAGCATCTAGGAAATTCATTTTGGGATTGCAGTACTTTGTACCTGTCCTGGAATGGGCTCCTCGTTACACCTTCGAGTTCTTCAAAGCTGATCTATTAGCTGGAATTACTATTGCCAGTCTAGCAGTTCCTCAAGGGATAAGTTATGCAAGTCTTGCTAACTTACCTCCAATCATTGGACTGTGTGAGTGATTGAATCTGTTCATTTCCTTTTAAATATTGTTGATATATATATATAGTTATGCAGATAATGTTTGCTTTTTGAAAATTGGAGCTCACAGTACTTTACTTAATGTGTAGATTCAAGCTTTGTGCCACCTTTGGTGTATGCCATGTTGGGGAGTTCAAAAGATTTGGCCGTGGGTACAGTAGCTGTGGCATCACTTCTCATATCTTCCATGTTAGGGAAGGAGGTTAACCCTAATGAGAACCCTAAGCTCTATGCTCATTTAGCTTTCACCGCTACCTTTTTTACTGGAGTTTTCCAAGCTGCTCTTGGATTTTTAAGGTCTGTTTTTTAAACACACAACTCTAAAACTGTCCTCTCTAGCTCCCTCGGTGCTTGGGTTTTTGTATTATTGCACAAAACATCTCTTAATGCATAGCAAACGGTGTAAGCTTATGAGTAACGATTGAAATATGCATACCACTGATATATAGTCCTTCATGTTGCTTTAACATATCATGATTCATGCACTGTTTTCTGTTTCGCAACCATGATTTTAATTTGTTCAATTGCAGGCTTGGGTTTATTGTGGACTTTTTGTCCCAAGCAGCAATAGTGGGTTTCATGGGAGGGGCGGCCACGGTTGTTTGCCTTCAGCAACTTAAAGGGATCCTTGGGTTAGTTCGTTTCACTAACGAGACTGATCTTGTATCGGTTATGCGTTCAGTCTTTAGCCAAGCACACCAGGTACATATTTCTTGCTAGCCTTGGCTTTTGTCTGCAAACTTTATAGCGTATCTTAACCCACTTCTCAGTATTCCTTCTATTTTAAATATAATGATTATATTATTGTGGTGGTGGTGGTTGCAGTGGAGATGGGAAAGTGGCGTCTTGGGTTGTTGTTTTCTCTTCTTCCTCATTCTCACAAGATACGTTGTAAGCAATCCAAAAATTCTTTCACGCTTCTAATTAACGTCTAAAACGTTCAATATCATCTCTCTACCTCCTTGTCATTGTCAATATTTAAGAAATTTTAACAACTCCACCAACAACAATTATTATATAGGATACATTTGGAAGTTTTTCTTTAACAATAATAAGGTTGCCTTCACTATGGAACATAACTCATATTAGAATCTTGAATTTCATGATGAAAAGTATAGTTCCTTGATATTTTTGTATTTATCTTGACCTTGATTTACAGTATTAATCTAACAAATTAAGAAACTGTCTATTTTTTCCCCCTTTTTATTTACAAGATATTAATTTTGTTTTTGCACTCTGCAATGTTACAATTTGATGACAAGTAGAGCAAGAGAAAGCCAGGCTTCTTTTGGATAAGTGCGATGGCACCCCTGACATCTGTTATCGTCGGGAGTGTTCTTGTTTATTTGACCCACGCTGAGCAAAACGGAGTTCAAGTGGTGAGTTTTTTCTCATCAACGCATAGAAATAATTAATTTCTTTTACATGCACATTTTAAGATTTGGAGTCCCAACTCCTCTATTCCCTACAAACTTTTGGAAAAAGAAATCGCTCATTTAGTAAAAATCTTTTTTCTTTTCTTTTCTGAGAGAGGGATAAAATATTAATGGACCGTGTACAGCTTATAAACCCTAACTAAGACTTCCGATAATATCCCACCAAAAGGAATAACATTCTTTGTTGGATAGATTCGTTTTTATGGGTACGATGGTCAAGATCTCACCTGCTAGGTAAAAGGAAAGACGTTCAATATTGTTATCGTCAATTAAAGTCATGATTTTGTTATAAAAAAAGCCATGATCTTAATCTTTGAAAAACTATTAAGATGGAATGTTGCATTTGTTTGTTTTGTCCAGATCGGGCACCTGAAGAAGGGATTGAATCCACCATCTGTATCTGAGTTGGCTTTTGGGTCTCCATATATGATGACAGCAATTAAAACTGGAATCATAACTGGTGTCATAGCTCTTGCTGTAAGTAGTAATGGTAGTAGTACTGGTTTCTCCATCCTCACTCACACATATACATCAAGGATCAAACTCCACTCCCTCACATGCTCCCCATTAACCACCAGCTCTCTGGCATGAGTACGACATCGTCAGTGCACAAATTGGCCTTAGTCTGTGGACACATAATCATGTTGTGGTGGCCAGGAATATTATGCATATGATCACTAGTCGATTTAAGGAATTCCTCATTGAATAAGTTCATGTACGCAGCTTGAATATGTATGTAAAAAGCAAGGGGAAAAAGGAAAAAGGAAAAGGAAAGAAAAGTCTCTTGTTTAAGATTGTGGTGTAAGATGATTTTGAAAGTGATTTTTCATGAAAAAATAATATATATATATATATATATATATATATAAAATACTAAAAAAAATTAATTTTAAATTTTAAAAAAAATTCAAAAAATGTTGTTTACCCACACTTCTAAATGATATTTTATTTAATCGCCTATAAGCTTGATGATATTCATTTATTTTCGGGTTAATACATCGGGTCTAAAGCCCAAAAGAAGAAAATTAAAATAATTAACAAAAAGGGTGGCTTGATGGATGTTCAGGAAGGAGTAGCTGTTGGGAGGAGCTTCGCCATGTTCAAGAATTATCATATTGACGGAAACAAAGAGATGATCGCTTTTGGGATGATGAATATTGCAGGCTCTTGCACCTCCTGTTATCTGACCACAGGTACTGATTCTATGCTGGACAACAAGTTAAGGCCCAACCCAACGGGACTGAATCATGGATCCATTGGGGACTGGTTTGGTCTAATTAAGTTGCTTCACTTGATTTTAAGCCCCTTCGTAAATACTCGATCCAATGACTAAACTAGGCAAATACTTTCCTAAACACTGATTTTTATGGTTAGATTCATCTTATTGGTAATGCATAAGCTCCTCTTACAAACAAATTGTATTGATTTGGATTGGATTGGATTGGATTGCAGGACCATTTTCGCGAACTGCGGTGAATTTCAATGCAGGGTGCAAAACTGCAGTCTCTAACATAGTCATGGCAACAGCTGTGATGATCACGTTGCTATTTCTAACACCTTTGTTCCATTATACCCCCCTAGTGGTTCTCTCCTCCATTATCATTGCTGCAATGCTCGGCCTAATTGATTATGAAGCTGCAATTAGCCTCTGGAAAGTTGATAAGTGTGACTTCATTGTTTGCATGAGTGCATATATTGGTGTTGTCTTTGGCAGTGTGGAAATTGGCTTGGTCATTGCTGTGAGTAGCATAAACATCAGCCAGTATTTATTCCCATGAAACAACTGTTAGGTTGAATATTCCTGATATGATCAGCATTTGCCTAAGCAGGTCGCAATTTCTTTGCTAAGGATGCTCATGTCTGTAGCAAGGCCAAGGACTTTTCTTTTAGGCAACATTCCCAACTCCGTGATTTACAGAAGCATAGACCAATACCCAATTGCAAACAATGTTCCAGGAGTTCTCATTCTCCAGATTGATGCACCAGTCTACTTTGCCAACGCAAACTACTTGAGAGAAAGGTATGCAAAATAATAAATTTAGATATTAAACGATAAAATGTCAAACAATTTGCACCATCACTCAAATCTTCTTTTTTATTTAAATTTTGTTGTTCAGGATATCAAGATGGATATATGAGGAGGAAGAAAAGCTAAAATCCACAGGAGGATCAAGCTTACAGTATGTGATACTAGATCTAAGTGGTAAGTGTCTTATCTAATCGTAATCAGCCTAGCCATCAGACTTAGCTTTTGCCCCTGTTAGCTTAATTTGACCCTAATGTTTCCGTCCATTCAACCCACAGCTGTCGGCAGCATAGATACAAGTGGGATCAGTATGCTTGAAGAAGTAAAGAAAAACATTGATAGAAGAGCACTCAAGGTACAATTAAATAGTTTTCAATCTTTCCATATTTTAGCAACCAGTCCTCGGTTATTAAAGTATGGATTACTTTGCTGTTGATCTAGCTCGTACTGGCGAACCCAAGAAGTGAGGTGATTAAGAAGCTAGAGAAGTCAAAGTTCATGGAAAGCATTGGTCAGGAATGGATCTATCTTACTGTAGGAGAGGCTGTGGCAGCATGCAATTTTATGCTACATAGAAGCAAATCAAATAATCCTGCCACAGACAAAGTTGAGCTTGACGCTCACGATAATGTCTGAGGTAAAAGTGGACGAATTGCCTGGTATGCTTATTGGGTCCAACCACTGATCTGGTGTGATGGTTCACCGCTGAAGAACCCCTCCTAATCTGATTGATCCGAGCATTGAAAAACCAGATGATTTTGTGGTGCAGTGGTTACAAGTTAAAGGTCTAAAAAACTGTGTATCTCCTTGCATCGAATATGATAGCGTGTGGTTCTTTCTAGAAATTATAAAATGTTGGTTCACATCTATGCTGGCTCTCTATTCCTTTCACATTTGATGTTTCAGACTAGAATCAACGTTTCAAACCCATACTAAAACCGACGTGGGCCTCCCCTGCTGATGCATCAACAGTGAAATCATGACATAAAATTTGGCTGGAAATTCTACCAAAGTAGCATAGTTTGAACAAAATGTGAAAGGTTCTGCCTATCCACAGCACTAGCAGGAAAAGAAAACGGTTGTGCCAAAAATCTCTAAAAATCATGGCTGGCGTACCATCTTGTTATCCATACACACTTCTATAATTTAGTATATCGATAACTCCTATAGTTTGAAGCTGCTAAGAGAGTGGAATAGATTAGAGCTCCCAGCTGGAGTTTCCCAAATTGATACCATGTGAACAAGCTGTAAAGAACAAAGTGCCCCTTTGAAAAACTAGCTTCTTTTGATTTTAGATAATCTGCTATTCAACGGATTATTATGACTGACCAAATACTAACAATAAATAATGTTGCAGAAGGACTAGGTGTTGAATAGTACAAGGGGTTTCCCAGATTGTGTAACCATGTGGACAAGCTCTTAAGAGCAAGGTGCCCCTTTGAAAAACTAGCTTCTTCTCTGATTTTAGATTATCTCCTATTCAACGGATTATTTTGACTGACCAAATACTAACAATAAATAATGCTGCAGAAGGATTAGGTGTTGAATAGCAAGGGCGATCATTTTAATTAAAAAAAGAAAAAAACTACATGCCCAAAAGTCTATTCTTTCTGTCTTCTTAATAAGTTCGTTTTCTCCAAGGGACGCAACTGGAAAACAGGAGTTCTTTCAGACCCTACCTGGGCTAGTTCTCTGCTCATGGCCAAGAAAATGAATCTGGTTTCTCTTGTGCTCCAGTTCCTCTTCCTAGTCTCTCTCTTGTCTGGAGTAACTCATGGCAGGTATTTACTTTCCAAGAACCATCATAATCCTACATGTTCAAATTTCCATAGATGAAAAAATGAAAAAACGTGAATAGTGCTTACAGGTTCAACCTGATGGAAAAGTCCCCAGCAGCTGAAGGCAGAGATGACAGGCCAAGACCACCATCCCCGAAAGGATGGGATTCGGGAGAGATATCTACACCCCCATAAAGCAGAAGGAAAGGAAAAATGCTGCAGCAGCAACCCGGCGTGCCTTGCAATAGTGTTACGCGTGTTCAAGGTTTGATGTAGTAGCTTACATTTGGATTTTGCATAATAATGATGGCTCATGTCCTGTACATCTTGAAGTGTTTTAATATACTTTTTGCCTTACTAAAGCTATAGTATCGGAAGGGCTATGGAGAACGTATTGGCTGCGAGAAATTCTAAAAAATTACGCCGAATCGGACACAATTCCAGCCGATCACTGATTTCATGCTCTCCATCCTAGGCCTACTTTTCTTCAACCATTTTGATTCTTTGAAACCTCCAACAATTGTGACTTGATGTCCACCATAATCTAATTAAAAAAAACCAGGGAGCCACCACTGCCTTTCACACAGATTGATAACAAACATGGCTTCGCACAGCAAGGTGATTTTTAAAATTTAATTATAATAACAATCACTTTAAAATTCAATATTTTAAAGAACGATGACAAGAGCAACCCTGATCACCCACTTTATTTTGGTAATGCAATGTAAAATATTTTTGTAAAAGTATTTTTTTTAATTGAAAATACACTATAAAAATGCTTTTTTTTTTATTTTTTTTATTTTAGTATATCAAAATCATCAAAAAACATCTAAAAAACTTTAATTTGTTTTTTTTGATGAAAAACAGCTTAAAAAAATACTTTAGAAAACAGTTTAACCGCATTATTAAACGGACACGTATTTAGATGTAACTTGATTCATTTATTGGTGCTAACGAGTTATGACACAAACTAATATAATCTTGAAAGCAAAGAGGTTTGAACCCATCATTTTATCCGTTATCTGAGCAAAAGGATAGTAGAACAAAGAACTAAAATGCACTGCTACAATAAGTTAAAAATAACATTCCTCTAAACAATCACAGCAATAAACACGGGGCTGAGAAATGGACTCAGAAAAATGATATAGCTCAGGAAAAAGGACTCATAAATGGCGCATGTCATTCATAGATATGCATTGATTACAAGAAAATAAGTTTTGTGCTACTCAATTGCAAATTTTCAAGGCATCAACATTAGCATTTTATAATCAAGATAGAGAATAACTCGCTCAATTTACAAGCAACGCAAGGAAAGCAAACCATAGAAGAAAGAGCATCTAGAAATGCAATAACTCAAAAGAAGCTCACAAGATACTATTAAGAGTTCAAAACTAAACAAATGCACATTATGGCTAACAAAAATCAACTTCTCACATCTGTTTATCAGCTACCACGTCTAACCAGAAACTTCTGTGCAGCATCAAGGCAAACAAGAAAGGCTTGTTGCTGTCTGTTCTCAGTTCACATATAAACTTCCCATTGAAGAGGGCATTGTATTGTCCTCCAGTAGATAGACAACAAAATACAAGTAAAGGAATTAAGGATTGGGCAGCTTTTCTTTGAATAGACGTGGAAGCACTTCATGAGCACCAATATCTAGAACCTCAGGATTCCTGGCAAATAAGGCATACAGAGTTGGGCATGTATAAGGAAAAAAAAAAAGCATCGCTGTTGACTTAAAAGAAAGCCATTTCAAACAAAGTACAATGGCATGTATTAAGCATTAAAATGATACCAGACGACTTATTAGCATATTGCACATGTTTTCCTTTTCTCTGAAGATGAACTTGGGGTGAGGGAAAAAAAGAAGAAATTTCCTTTTCAACAAAAAAGAGAGCATGAAATAAATCATCACCATTGAAATGGTGACCCCCAAATGGAGATGATTTACTGCTGTCAGCTGTTCCATGTCCAGTTTTTTTATATCTAGCATGATGCTAAAAACTACAAGTCAGAGCTAGATAGAGAACATTGTCACAGTGTGTGAGCCTTCGTATTCACAAATATCCTAATTCAGCAAGTTTAAGCAGCTAAGAACAGGAAATGTTAAATATCATATATTTATGGATAAAGCACATAGCATGTGGGAGGCCTGTCTATCCAGATGATTGACTGCAATCACTGGATGTACAATAAAAAAATAGGTGATTGTGTTCATGAAAGAATATATGATTTTATATGCAACAATAATCATGAAACATGTACAAGAACCAGGGTTCAGATGTTATATCATTTATACACGATTAAGCCATCTATAGAAGGATCTATATCTATTCAAATAAAAACTTCAAAGACAAATTAAAGAGTATATATGAGAGAAGTGGAGAGGAGAGGAGAGAAACCTGCAAAGTGTTTGCCCCTTTTCATTGGTGCTAGCAATAAACCATATTTTTCGCATAAAATGTGACTCATATTGAACAAAGAAACCATCATGCTGCCCATACTTCCACTTTCTTGATCCTTGACCTTTCCAAACCTGCAAAAAAGGCATGCGATGAATAAGACCTTGTTGTTGGGTACAGTATTATATCCCACCACAGAATAGGCAAATCAGCTAGGACTGGTAAAACATAAACAAAAGTGACATAAATAGTCTTAGAATTGAACAATTTAAGTATTATATATTTGATTATAAGCAAGCCAGGCTCGTCTGTCTTAAAGCCATAAAGCCATTGAATCATTTGAAGTGCATCTAATATAGACTTGATTTAATTAGAAAACAGCTTGCTTATTAATTAGCAGCGTACATGATACATCACCACTTGGGTTCTTCAATTTTACCATTAAAGGTTAACCTCAAGCAAACTGCATACAACACCTTACTCGCCCAAGCTCATTGACTCATTCAGCTGTGACAGCATAAGCTGATGTTTATGAAATCAAGGATCATTTACAAATCTCAGCCCGTAACAAAGAGAAATATAGGACCAATAAAGGACGGTAAATGAGAAAGTAATCTAGTACCAAATACACTACTTAAAAAGAAAAACATAAAAGAAGAGAAACCATAATATTCCATGTCCGCAGCAAGTTCCTCTTCAAAGCCATGGCATCCAAAGTCCTAAAGTAGATACATGCCTATGATCATTCTTATCAATTCCCAAACCACAAAACCTACATATGAACACATCTCATTATGTGCATGTCTGGTGTCCAAGAAAAAGAAGGGCTTGCTTCTCGGGAAGACGTGTATACTCAACACATGCAAAGAAGCAAATCATTACCTGTGGGTAGGATATGATATTTTTTGGCACCACTAAGCAAGCTGCCTTGGAGAAAGAATCATCCGCATACTGCCTTAGAAATGAGAAACAATTGCTGTGTGTATGGGGCGATTCAAAGGCCTGCAAAAAGAAACAAGGCAAAAGTAATTGCTGGAATCACAAAGAATTCTATTCATTTATATCCTCTTTTTACAAGTACATATACCACACATCAGAGAATGATGTCTCCAAAGAAGACAATACAGTTTCAAAAGTCAATACCTTATCAATATTAACAACTGGAGCATATTTATCAGTTTGTGTCTTTTCCTTGTCAAGAAGAAAGTAGACTCTAGGATCCACTTTAGAAGCTTCATGCCAGGATTTTACAGCTGTCTCCATGGTCTCAACAAGAAATGAGAACATATCTTTCAAACATTCTTCGGATCCAAGCTTTTCAAACTACAAAATAAAAGGCTAAATTAATTTTTTTAACGGGGAGTATTATCACATGCACAGAAAAGCTTAAATAATTAATCTTCTACATGAACAAGAAGAGAAGATGACAAATGAGGTTATCCAGATTCAATCTTCCATTAAAAGGAAATATGGTGAATGGGAAATGACCACTTCCAAAATGCATCTCACTCCCACATACGTGTTTCAAATTATAAGGTGAAAAACTTGGACATCATGACTCTTTGCTAGATAAAATACACTCACCATTTCAGATTTCAATGTTTCCAAGTGTTTTGCCATGTCAACATTGGATCTCATGCTCTGCACCTCTTGAGCTCGTTTTTTGTCTCTGGCCAACTGGGATATCCTCTTGATCTTTCTTGATACTTCAGTGCTCTGTGGATTGTGTTGTAAAGCTATTTGGAAAGTAGCCAATGCCTACATATACATGAGCAGTCAAAATGTATAAGCAACAAATCAAATCCAACCAATCTTGTCTAAACAGCTACCAAATAGCATGAAAAGCGAACATGATCCTTTAGAGTTCAGACATACATCATCATACCGTTCCATGCCCTCCAATACACATCCTTTCCTGAAATATCCCTGAAATTGCAACAAAAAGCCACTGTTATAGAAAAATTTTAGGAAGTCAAGTAGACCAAATGATAAATGGTTGTGTATGTCTGTGCACCTTTTCCCATTGAGGGTTCAATTTGATAGTTGTCTCGGCATCAGCAAGTGCTTTATTAAGCTTGACCAATTGCAAAAATGCTGCAGCACGGTTGCTGGTGAATGATAGAATCATAAAAAGGGAAAGAAAGATTAAGGGATTTGAGTGTTTGATATATCATTGCGCATAACTAAACCTCTGATGGACATTTGCAGTTGATGGATAAGCATTAAGAAAGCCAGTCAATTATCATAATAGGATTGAGAGACGATCAAGGTTCAAAATGCATTGAACATTCAACTAGAGCTCTTATAGACTATTACAGAAGTTGCATAGACATAAAGAAAACAAATGAACTATGATAACAGTATCAAGAAAACCATATGGATTCTAATTTAGCGAGCACAAATGTGCTCTATGATTCTGGCATGGTATTCATAAATTGCATAACTGTTATTGGGAATAACAATGCCATTAAGCAAGACAAGAGAATAATCCACTGCAAACTACCTAATCTCAACACAAGAAAGCAGGCCTAAAGAAATTATGCGGAAAGTAAAAAAGTTTGTTCCCTCGCCGTACCAGTTCTGCAAAATCAATTCGCTATGCATAATACAAAATGTTAGAGATGGACAGAAAACACAAAAGTGCAGCTTTAACACTGCACGATTAAACATTTCTAACTCGGGTATAAGGTCCCTATCTTCAAGTTTGATGAAAATTAATATAGAATTACGAGCACAGTAGGATACCATGCTGCATCGCACCTAATCATCATTAATACAGTGAATGAAGGCGAGCAAAAAAATTAAGAACAACCAACTCCAACTAGTTCTAAGAAATGGCAAAGCATCAAACTTGAATTCCTAACGAAACTTGAACCGCAACAATCACAAACCAGCCAAAACCAACAAAAATATAACTGAACACCTAATTGAAAAATGAATCAAATTTCACTAAAATAAAT